CCGGGCCTTGTCCACAGACGCAATGCCCGCGCCTTCTCAGGAGCAGCGCTATTCTAAGAAGCCCTGCCCCCTCCCCCTCTACCCCCCTCTGCGCGTGGCCAAAAGAAAGCAGAGGAGGAGGAGGAGGGGGAAGAGGAGGGGGAGGAGGGGGAGGAGGAGGAGGATGAGGGGGAGGACGAGGAGGAGGACGAGGAGGAGGAGGAGGAGGAGGAGGCGGAGAAGGAGGAGGAGGTGGAGGAGGAGTTGGAGGTCCTCCCAGGGTTCCGAGACGAAGGCAGCCCCGGCGACGAAGGCCGACCCTCGGAAGGACCACGTAGACCAGGGGGCCCATCCGCCCCTCCCCTGCATGCCTACGGTAGGTTTGCGTCGTGTCGACCAGCGGCGACCCCAGCGCGGGCGTTCAAGGTTGAACGCCGCCGGCGACCCAGAATCGATCGATGTTGAACGATCGGACGTTGCGGCAGCGGCCGATCGTTCAAGGTTGAACGATCCCTGCGGTGTCAAAAACCAACGCTGGGGTCGGCACGACACGAACCTGCCGTACGTCGTCTTTCGGCACGTGGCGTGGGTCCCCAGGGCTCTCGGCCCCTTCTCGAGGCCGGCTTTTCAGCCCGCGTCGTGCCTGGATGGCCAATGGGGCTCGCGATCGGCTTCCAGATGCCCAAGGTCGGGAGGAGCCGCCCGACTTTTTCGAGACACCCGCCAGATCTATAGGTCCTCTCCTCCTCCTCCTCCTCCTCCTCTTCCTCCTCCTCCTCCTCCTCATCATCATCATCATCAGCATAATCATCATCATCATCATCGTCAGCATCATCATCATCCTCTTCCTGGAAAATATTCAGGCCCCAGACCTCTTCATGGGTTCTTTCCTGCCAGAACCTCGAGGCGGATCCAGCCTTGGTGACGAGGGCGCTCGGTACCGCCCACAACATGCCTAACACGCTCCATCTTGATCCTCTGCCTCCACTTACTCCTCATGCTCTTCCTCCCCTTCTCGGACCAGAGGGGTGGTACTCTCCCTCTCCTCCAGGCGGACACAGCAAGGCAGTGCCGCCGACGACCCGACTCGATGCCATTCGATTCGCCGGCTGGGGCCACGATTCCGATTCGGTTCGGTTCGTTTCGATTCACCGGCATCAGGCGCTGCGATCCGATTTCGATTCGATTCAGGCCGACTCGCTGGCGATCCCACCCGTTTCCGATCCGATCCGATTGCGCGATCCGATCCAGCTCAGGCTCGCAGGGGCGAATAGCTCAGGGGGTTGGGGGGCGCGAGCATCACCTGGGCCTCCAAACGCCCAGCCACTGGCAGACGCCAGGGTTAAGTCGGGCCTGTCCCTCTACAGGACCCTGGATACCTCGGCCCTCGAGGGTGACGGGATGCGTGATAAGACGTCGGAGGTAAATGAAGACGTGGCGGAGGAGGAGGCGGATGAGGAGAAGGAGGAGGAGGAGGAGGAGGAGGAGGAGGAGGAGGAAGGGGAGGAGGAGGAGGAGGAGGAGGAGGAGGAGGAGGAGGAGGAGGAGGAGGAGGAAGAGGAGCATTTTTCATGTATCGCCCGTAGGCCCAACACCAGGGGCGAGTGTTGGCGCCAGGCCTTTTTAGCTCTTCACCGGAAGAGGCCCGCTCTCGACCCGCAGACCAAAAATGTTGGCGCCAGGCCCCCTGTGACAGTGGCCTGTTCTTCCCCCGCCGTCGCCTCAGGCTCCTCCTGGCCAGAGCCGCAGAGCAAGAGGCTCCCAGAACGGCGACCTTCTCGAGCCTCGGCCCGCGAGGAAATGATGAGAATCATACCATCCCGGAAGCCTCGCGCGGCGCGCAGTGTTGCATCATCTAGTCCACACGCCCGCGCCGTAAGATATGGGACGACGTTCGCGCGGCGACGTTCCGACGTAAATCAGACGTGACTCCGACGTAGTGCAGACGTGATCCGACGGGAGCCCGACGTAAATCCGACGTGGATGCGATGTAAGTTGGGTCTCCAGTAGCCGCGCGAGGCCTTCTGGATTGCCCTTGTAAAGAGAAGGCCCCGATCCCAAATTTCCAGACCCACCTCTCAGAGTCTAGCCCGCTCCCAGGGCTCGTTTCGATTCCTCCGATTCGATTCGATTCGATTTCGATTGATTCCGATTCCGATTCCGATTCGGTTCGACCTGGGATTCCGATCTGGGTTATGATACCTCGTTGAAGGTATACTGGCCTGCCGATTTCCGCCGATCCGACTTTTCCCGACTCGGCAGCCGATTTCCGCCGATCCGATTAATTTCAATCGCCGATCCGACTTATCGTTAAGTCGGGCACGTCCCTCTACAGGAGGAATATTCAAAACTAGTCCAAAATTATGTGTGGACGCTGTTTTTAGTATTTTTTGACCAAGTCGGAGTATTGTTTGACTGTGTTTTATTTTTCGTCCAAAACCCCCCTGTAGGAGGACATGCCCGACCTAAACTTATCGATTCGATTCTGGGCTCTCCTTCGCTCCTCAGATCGTGCCCTCCAGCGGCGGCGGTGCCAGGATCGGAGTGGCAATTCTCGAGCCTCGAGCTGATTTGAGGGGCTCCCTCTCCCTTCTCCAACCCCTCCCTCCTCCCCCTCCTCCCCCTCCTCCCCTCCTCCTCCTCCTCCTCCTCCTCGCCTCCTCCTTCTCCTCTTCCTCCTCCTCCTCCTCCTCCTCCTCCTACTCTTCCCCCTCCTCCCCTCCACAATTACTCAATATGAATACTACTCTCCCTCTTCCCGTGATGACGTCTTGGGAATATTCGCCCCCCCCCCGCGTACTGTTTTTTTACACAGGTTTCCCCGGAGTTGGGTGTTCGCCTGCATTTGTTCCCAAAATGCTGCTCTCGCTGAGGCGCCGGCCTCATTTTCGGGCCCCGCTCGTTCCGAATCGTGCTCCCGCTGCAGCGCTGGCATCATTTCTGCCGGCGCCCGGGCCGGACGCGACTCGTGCTCCCGCTGCAGCGCTGGCGTCATTTCCCGTGCCATGCCACGGCATGCAATGCAATGCCAGGTTGATACTACGCTTCGCGGTGTTCTTCTACGCCATGCCATGCCGTGCTCTACAATGCATCGCGTACCCTTTCGGGATCATCGCCCTGCTTGACATCCGACTGTGCGAGTAGAGAGGGGATCTGCGCTATGGTAAGGGATGGGAGGGAGGGGTAGGATGTCAGATATGACGCGAGCGCACCTAGCTTGTCCTCTTCCCCCTCCCCCCCTCCTCCTCCTCCTCCTCCTCCTCCTTCTCCTCCTCTTCCTCCTCCTCCTCCTCCTCCTACTCCTCCCGCTCCCCCGCCTCCTCCTCCTCCGCCTCCATTCGATACTCCATGTCACAACGGATTTGATTGTTGACGATCTCGAGCTCAGCGATGGTGCCTTGATCGGTTGCGCAGAAAACAATCGGTACGATTTGAGCTGTGCAAATGACAATCGATACGATGAGCTTGCAGAGCTCGGTTTGGGATGAGGGAGGATGGACTCAACATCCTTAATGATCTGGCTCTGGACCTGTTCTCCGTCATCTGAGGGGCTACAGTGGAGGCCCATGCCAAGAAACACATCCTGGAGATGTTTTTTTTTTCCGATGGACAGCGTGACGTTCCCACACCAAAATTCAGTGGACGCCCTGGGGTCTCAGGGTTGGGTTTCTTGTGGACTGGCCTCCACTGTACGTACGGCACCACCGCCGACCTGCAAGGCGCGCGGCCGCTCGCCTCGCCTCGCCTCGCCTCCCTGTTGTATACGAGAACGGGGCCACCCCACGAATAGCCGAGTCGAGCGCCTCCTCTGGCGCGTGGCGGAATCAGTGGGCGCGGATGCCCTCGGGGCTCACGCAACGGGAAGCCGGGCCTGTCCCTCCACAGGAGGAAGATCCGAAAAGAGTCAAAGACGTACGATGGGGACGATCTGTTGATTGGACCTTGCTTTACCTTTCGTCCACAAGCCGCCTGCCTGGGGACGCGCCCGACCTGAACGCAGCGGGGGTTATAGCGCTGACGTGGGTCAGCCAAGCCCCTCTGGCTGGCCCAGATTCGGGAGCCCCGCGGGGCCGATTCACGAGCGACTGGCCCGGCTTCGCGACAGGGCTCTGGCCGGCCCGGGCCTGCGCTGGCCCCGGGGCCAGCGCGCCCCCGCAACGGGAGGGGCGGGTGCGCCTCGAGCCTCGAGCCTCGACCTCATGCAGGGGACCCCCTCCCTCCTTGTTCCGACCTCTCCCGCCTGCATGAGGACGGGATCCCCCCCCCCCGGACAGTCGCGCTCGGAGCGCCTCCTCTGGCGCCGGCGACGCCGGGGTCGCGGGGGCCGCGCCTGTTCTCGAGCGCTGCGCAATGGGGGCGTGAAGAGCGGTGCACCTCTTGTGCGCGGAAGGGGCCCCTTTGGGTACCCTTGGGGCCCCAAAGGAGCACGAAGGCTCGCCGTTCGTCGCCCCCCCTCACTGGGCAACGCTTCAGTCGGGCCTCTCCCTCTACAGAAGGAATATCAAAAGATAGTCAAACGTAGTCTGGGGACGATGTTTTGATTATGTTGGGGCATTGTTTGCTTATTTCTATTTCACGCCAAAAGTCTGCCTGTAGGAGGACATGCCCGATCTACAGTGGAGGCCCATGCCAAGAAACACATCCTGCTTGCCTCCAAAGTGCCCTGGGTTTCTGGGGTTTTGATTGTTTTGCGATGGAGAGCGTGAAGTGCCCACACCGAAAGTCAGTGGACGCCCTGGGGTCTCAGGGTTGGGCTTCTTGTGGAAGGTGTCTGGTGGTCGGGCTGTAAGGCAACGCCCAGCTCCCTCTCCTTGGGCCCCCGCCCCCCCCGGCCCATCCGCCGGGGAGACCCCAAAGGGGCACCGAAGGGCGGGGCCCCAAAGGGCGGGGCCCCAGAGGGGCACGAAGGGTGCGCGCTTCTTCGCCGCGCCGTTTATCGCCCCACCCACTGGGCAACGCTTCAGTGCCCTCCCTCGCCCTTGGGGCCCCCGCCCCTCCCCCGATCCGCTGGCGGCCCCCGTATGGTGCCCGTGGCGCGCGCCGCCGCCTCGAACGAGGACGCCATGCGCGCGGGCACCGCGGGCGAGCCCGGGCTCCGCCAGGCCTGCTGCTGGGCACGGGGGGAGGAGGAGGAGGAGGAGGAGGAGGAGGAGGAGGAGGAGGAAGGAGGAGAGGAGGGAGGAGGAGGAGGAGGAGGAGGGAGGAGGAGGAGGGAGGAGGGAGGAGGGAGGAGGAGGAGGAGGAGGAGGAGGAGGAGGGAGAAGGAGGAGGAGGAGAGAGGAGAGGAGCGAGGAGGAGGAGGAGGAGGAGGAGGAGCGAGGAGGAGGAGGAGGAGGGAGGAGGCGAGAGAGGAGGAGGAGGGAGGGAGGAGCGAGGAGGAGGAGGAGGGGAGGGGCGGAGCGGGCCACGAGGGGCCCCCTCCTGGCTCGCGCCGCCCTCCACCTCCTGCCTCCTCGGCTCCTCCACTCCTCGCTCCTCCCTGCTCGCTCTCCCCCCTCGCCTTCCCCCTCTCTCTCCCCCTCCATCCCTCGCCCCTCCCCCCGCATCCACCTCCCCCTGCCCCCGCTGCTGCTGCTCCTCCCCCTCCCCCGCCCCCCTCCCCCCCCCTCCCTCGTCTTCCCGCGCGCGGAGGGGGTGATGGACATGGGCGGGAGGAAGATGAGCAGGAGGAGTAGAAGGAGGAAACGGACAAGGAGGAGGACACGATTAAAACCAAGGTGCATCAGCGATGCTGCAGTACACCCTCCTTTCCCAAGTCCCTTCCGCACAGGGCCCTGCAAGCCTCCGTTTTCCCTGCAAGAAGCGTTACCTTGACGGACCAGCACAGGCCGTCGCTATCGCGCCTGCTCTCTGGCTGGCCCTTGAGCCCTCCGCGAGGCAAGCCTGGTGTCCACGAGTACCGAGGAGCTCGCCGAATTCAGGGTCGAGGACGTGATCGCGGGCCCCGCGAGGCCAGCGCCCCTTCTCTTCCGGCCGGAGGCGCCGAAGGTGACGAGCGGCAGCGACGACCTCGAGGAGACCTGCGCCCTCGTTCGGGTGCTGCCAGAAGTGCCCCTGGCCCAAGGTGCCCCCAGCTTTTCGCTCCGTGTTGGAGCCCCTGGTGCGGGCAGAGTCTACATCCACACCCGGTGCGTCTTGGAGCTTCGGGCTCTCCTCCCCAGACACACGAGGCCCACGACTTTGTCCACTTCCGGTGCGCCGCGGCCTCGCGGCGCCCCTTTCAAGAAAGTCCAAGCCGCGCTGGACATGCACCGGGGGCCCTCTGGGCCTCGCGAGGGCTCCTCTGGAGGCCATCGGGGCTCCCAACATGGAGCGAAAAGCTGGGGGGCACCTTGGGCCATGTCGGGCGTGGTGTCCCCCTACAGGGGGATTTTCGACGAAAAATATAAATACCCCAAAAATACACCAAAAAGGACAGAAAATACTCCAAAAATAGTCTGGGGACTATTTTTGGATTATTGTTTGTTTATTTTTGGGTTATTTTTGATTTTTCGTCGAAAATCCCCCTGTAGGGGGACAGGCCCGACATAAACCTTGGGCCAGGGGCATTTCTGGCAACACCCGACTCGGCATCGCCGCCGTCGCCGCCCTTGCCACGGCCGTCCTGTTTGTTCCATCAGTTCGGGCAGGTGCATTGCCTGCAGATCCTCGATGGTCGAGAGCCACCCTCGGTTCTCGAGGCGGGTCTTCAGTCGCCTGCGTTCTGCCCCAGCACCTTCTGCCATCTCTCGAATCGGGCACAGCTTGGGTCCGCCTGCCAGGGCTGGTGCCTCCTATGCTCACAGGGATGTTTCTTTCTGATGCCGCTGGAGCCAGCTCTGCGACGCGGGAGTTTGGCGGCGAGCGAAGACGGGAAGTGAGAAGGAGAAGGCCTTCTCAGAAGGCGGCGGGACTTCTCAGAAGCCCCCGCGCCTTTCGAGAAGTTGTTTCTGTCTTCGGGGAGAGTTTAGAAAACTTCTCAGAAGGCCAGGGGATTTCCGAGCCTTTGAGAAGGCCCGCCCCTCCTCACTTCCCCCCCCGCTCGCCGCCGAGGGCGCACCGAGGGACGCGGGCGGCAACGCCACTGGACCCGACAGAATCCAACCCTGAGCGATCGGGGCCGCCATCGATTCCAGGCTGCACGCGCGGCGCAGCGTCGAATTTCCTTAGCGCGCGCGCGCCGAGGCCGCGCGAGCCCGCCGCATCGTGCCGCGCTGCCACGGCCTGCCGAGTCGCAGCTCGTGGCCAACGCCGGCCCCCGCTCGGCTTCCAGGCGTTGGGTGCCGCGTAATGGGGGGGTCATACATGGGGGGTGGTGTCGCGGGTGGTCCGAAGGGGTACCCAAACGGTACCCCAACGAGCCCCCTGGGGCTCCGGAGGGGCCCGAAAGGGGCACGAAAGGGGACCTTTTCTGACCCCCCTGTTTGTGGCCCCCCCATGAAGCCACGCCCAGAGGCGGCCCCTCGAGGCCGCCCCCGGCGGCCCCTCCGCGCCCCGAGGGCCCCCCCCCCCCCCTCGGGCGGGCTCCGGAGGCCGAGGGCGGCCGCCGCCGGCCGCGGGCCGGCCCCCGGGGGGCGCGCCGGTGCGGTCTCGCGGCAGCGCCCGGCTCTGTGCCCACGGGCGCCCTCGAGGGCGCGAAGCGTTTCGCGCCTCGCGGTTCGGCTCCGGTTCCCCCTCATCCTCCTCTCCTCCCCTGGGAGGCGGCGCGAGGGCGCGAAGCTCTTCGCGCTTCGCGCAGCGCGAAGCGCGAAGTTGGGAGCCCTTGTTGTCGGAGCGTCCCACGGCTGGGCTCACAGGGCGTACGGTGGGGGGCGTTCGTTGAGGATTGCGCCCAGGAGGCTGCAGACCCCGGAGGATTCCTCATCTGATAAAGGGCGGCGGTGAGATCCATGGCCGATCCACGATTGGAGTTCCACGGGCTTCCAGCCCCTGGATTCCTTTTCCAGTGGTTCCTCATCCAATGCCTTCACCGTAGTCACGTGGCCCTCCAGGACTCCTCCAGGCGACTGTCCTGCTCTCCCCCCCCCGTCGGCGTGACCTCCCCTTGGTGAGGGCTCGGGGGGAGGCGCTGACTCGCCTCGCGGCCACCCTCGGAGGGGAGTCGGATGCAGATGCGTCCCCAGAGGTCCAACGTATTGAAAAAAGTAAGATAAAGGTTTTTCGCAATTTTCGACCTCAAGGGGCCCTCGCCGGGCCCTGGGACCGTCAAAAAACGACTCAGGATGAAAAACCGGTCCTGGAGGATGGGTTGAGACCTCCGGGGACCCCTATTGAAAAAATCACGACGTCGGATCTCTGGGTCGGAGTTCGTTCAATCTTAGATCTCCCTGGCGTTAGCCCCGTCCCCAACAGCCCCTCCCAACGGCGGCGAGGAGCTCGTGTCCGAGTCCATCGCCTCCGCGCAGCAGGCGCTCCAGCGCCTCGCGGAGCGAGCGCGGTGGGCGGTGCGGTGCCAGGCCGAGGACAGCGAGGCCCTCCGCAAGGAGCCGCCGCCCTCGTTTCTCTGCACTCCGGATCCTGGTCCTCCTCCTCCTCCTTCCTCCTCCTCCTCCTCCCTCCTCCTCCTCCTCCTCCTCCTCCTCCTCCTCCCTCCTCCTCCTCCTCCTCCTCCTCCTCCTCCTCCTCCTCCTCCTCCTCCTCCTCCTCCCTCCTCCTCCTCCTCCTCCTCCTCCTCCCTCCTCCTCCTCCTCCCTCCTCCTCCTCCTCCTCCTCCTCCTCCTCCTCCCTTGTTTCCAGTCGAGCAGCTCTCCCTGGAGCATCGCTCGCTGGCCTGCGTGCTTCCGTGCTCCCTGCCCGCCAGCGCCGTGGCTCGTGCGCGCCGTGGGCCCTCCTGGACGGGTCTTTGCTTCCTCGCGGCGGCCAGGAGGGGGAGGAGGAGGAGGAGGAGGGGGAGGAGGGGGAGGGGGAGGGGAGGGGGAGGGGAGGGGGGAGGGGGGAGGAGGAGGAGGAGGAGGAGAGGGGAGGGGGAGGGGGAGGGGGAGGGGGAGGGGGAGGGGGAGGGGGAGGGGAGGGGGAGGGGGAGGGGGAGGGGAAGGAGGAGGAGGGAGGAGGAGGAGGAGGAGGAGGAGGAGGAGGAGGAGGAGGAGGAGGAGGAGTTGTACGATCCCGTTTTTGATGTGACTGCTTCCTCCTCCTCCTTCTCTTCTTTTCTTCCTTGGACGTTCCTGGCGGGCCCCGCGGCCGAGCCTGGAGACCGATATCGAGCCTGGAGACCGATGTGCCAGTTATGCCGCCACCGCACTCGGGCGGGGGGGGGGCGCTCCGGGAGGGGGGGAGGGGCGGAGAGTCGGCGGAGCCCCCCTTAAGTCCCAGGCTGTGCATTCGGGGAGACCTGCTGCCTGGGAGGCCGCAAGCGCAGAGGCCCGGCCACAACAACGAGCGCATCTCGGGCTGGATACTCCAGATTTCGTAATAAAGGGAGGGGGGGGGTCTCTTCCAGGCTGTCTTGGAGGGCCTGGGGGGTCTGGGGACGATGTTTTGGAGGGTTCTCCCACGGGGGAGGTCTGAAATGGCTTGTCTTGGAGGGGCCAGACCCCCTCCCTTTTATTACGAAATCTGGAGTACGTCGGGGGGCGGGCCCCGGGGCCTGAGCCCAGAGGCCGATTCACGCTGGTCGTCGAAAGTATGTATTTTTGGGCAGCCAGGTCCCAATCTGCGTCAAGCGCCTTCCTGATTCGAGAGTCCACACGTCTTTGCTGCCTTTTGCTTTTCTTTGGGCGGGCCCGAAGCCAATCTACTTGATCCGCCTTTCACCTACTTTTTCCGACTAGCGTTGCGTCGGGCCTGTCCCTCTTACAGGGGGAAGATTCAAAAACAGCTCCCAAAAATCACATTGGGACGATGTTTTGACCATTTCTGGGTATTTGGGTGTATTTTTGGTGTTTCATTTTTTTCATGCAGAATCCGCCTGTAGGGGGACAGGCCCGACCTAAGCCTGGCGCGTGCAGCTCCCCGTGCACGGGAAGCGCGGCCCCCGGGGGGGGGGACGGCGCCGCAGCACGCCAGGGGGCCGCCCAGGGGGCCGCTGGGGGTGGCACGGCGGGGAAGAGCAGCAGTCCGGACAGAGAAGGGGTGCGCGCTGGCGCGAGTCTTGCGCGGGGGCCCTGCTTGTGCCGCAGCACGCCCGTGCCAATCCCCTGACCATGTACGCGCTATCCGTGATGAAACCCAGGAGGGCGAGAAGGAGGAGAAGGAGGAGAAGAGGAGAGGGGGAGGGGGAGGGGGAGGGGCAGGGGGGAGGAGGGGGGGGAGGAGGGGGAGGAGGAGGGGGAGGGGGAGGGGGGAGGAAGAGGGGGGGAGAGGGGGGTAGGGGGGAGGGGAGGAGCGGGGCGAGCGCAATCATCAGTGTCAGGCGCGGGTGTCCCGGCCCGCAGAGAGGAGCTGGCGCACCCACGGGTGCATGTGGAGCAGGCCGCCGAGGCCCTGTCCACCGGACAGGCTGGGCCGCCGTGCACGCAGGGGAGGGGGAGGGCGAGGAAGACGAGGAGGAGGAGGAGGAGGAGGAGGAGGAGGAAGAGGAGCGAGGAGGAGCGAGGAGGAGGAGGAGGGGGAGGGGGGGGATGGGGAGGAGGAGGAGGAGGAGGAGGAGGAGGAGGAGGAGGAGGAGGAGGAGCGAGGAGGAGGAGGAGGAGGACAGGGCTGAGGAGGAGGCGGAGGAGGAGGCGGAGGAAGAAAAAGAGGAAGCGCGGTGGGGAAATCTTGAGCCAGGGCGCGGAGAAGAGCGAACAGGAAGGAGGCATGCTGGGGAGGAGGGTGGCGGGAAGAGGGAGGCAGGACTGGGGAGAAAGGAGAGGGGAGAGGAATGAAAAGGAGGGAGGAGTGAGGAGGGGACGGGCCCAAACCATCTGAAGACGCTCGTGGTATCAAACATGTGCTCCAGGAGCGGTACACGCGCCCCTGGCAAGAGGGAACAGGTGGATAGCCGGCGCCGAGGCGAGAGCAGGATTCCCAGGTCATTTGAGTATTCAGGCGATCACCAGCGAGAGGGGGAATAGGAGGGTGAGGTGGATCATTAGTAAGACGAAGATACGGGGGAGAACCAGGAGGAAGAACAGAGAGGCGAAGGAGAACATAGGAGGAGGTGGAGCGGGATGGCGAAGGGCGAGAAAGAGTACGACGTGGAGGACGACGATGAATACAACGACGACGAATGCGATGACGACGACGACAATGATGACGACGAGGGCGTAAGCCGACCAGGAGCAGGAGGACGACGATTCGGAGGACGCGCGACCAGTATTTGGAGCCACCCTAGCTCTAAAGGCGCTGCTTGGGGATATTGGAAGTTGCTGTAATTGTTCGGGGGCCCATATCTGTGGGAATTTTCGCGGGCAAGCCAACTTGACTACGCTCTCTCAGCGGGAAGGAAATGAAAGGGCCTCTTGGAGGCGTCTTGGAGGCCCCTTAGGGGGCCTTCCGGGGGTCTCTCAGTTTTTTGGGGAACTGTCTCAGGGCGCTTTTGGGCAATCTGGCGCCTGTGGAGTCCGCCTTGGGGGCATATGTGAGCCGTCGTGGGGCCCTCTTGGGCCGTCTTGGGCCCGTATTGGGGATCTCCCTGGACCATCTTGAAAGCCTTTTTGGGTCGTCTGTGGTTTTTCTTTGGGGCCTCTGGGGGCCTCTGGGGACAATCTTGGCGGGCGACGAAATGGTAAGGGAATCTTGCTGGGTGATTTCAAAATCGGACCGAGGTATCAGATCGAGGTTGGCCCGGGGAGGGTACCCTAGTGTTTTTCGTGCTCGTAGAATGCTCTTGTGCACAATTGGGAGGGCACCCTTGGATGTGTAGTGTGCTTTGGCCGACGGAGGGTCTCATTTTTTTGATGGGTGTTCTTCTGGCCTAGGTCCGATTGTATGTATTATCATCCCGCCGCCATATAGGCCTGGATGCCGAAAGGCACGCGCTCCTTATTTGCCTGGATACTCCCGTATTCGCTGCTTGCGGGAAAACAGTCACATATTCCTCCTGAGAGCCATCCCCCTTATGATAGATCCTGTACTTCGTTCGTAATGCACTACCGACGAGCAGGGTGCTTTCGACTTGGTAGCCGAGCTGGCCAAGTCAGGCTGGCCCCCGCCCTCTCTCCTGTTCTACACCACCCCATATGCTATACCTGCGCCATCTCTCCAAAAGTTTGTCCGAGGACATTTCAATGTGCTGTTTGCGGTTGATCCGTTCAAGGCCATCAATCAGGTGACTTCCGAAACGAGCAGTCTGATCGATTTGCGGCGCGACTTACAATGTCCTTCGGTAACAAGTCTGTACCAATTTGGGGCATGCCGCATAACGCCATTCGAAGTTATGTCAACAACCAGAAGGTAAACACTTGGAAATAAGCTGCTTGGAAACAGTCCCAGTACGAGGGGAACCTCAGATGAAAACCCCAAAGTGCCTTCGACGGTAAACGGTTATATTCGAATAACACCGCACTCCCCAGTGCAACAACTAGGCCCCATAATTGCTGCATCCCTTTGGCTAGCAGCTGGAGCCGCTATCGGTTACGTGCACAGGGGCAACGGCGACACAAACACGCGAGGATTATTGGGCATTGGAAACCCACGACTGACTCAACGTGACGGGCGGCCGCATGACCCCACGATAACATGATGTTGCATTGCAGCGCGGTCCAGGCGGAACCCCGCCACAGCGCGACGCGAACCCACAGCAACGTCGTCAATTATGGAGCAGAGATGAACGGTGCCAGGACCGACCCCGTCGTTTATCTCATGTGCATCCTTAGCATCCTTAGAATATTAAAGACAGGGGTCCAGCTGCCCAGTTTCCACGCGATCTCAGGGGGGCGAATCGCCGGTATGTTGGCTAGATCCGAACTCGCCCGACTAGAAGGACAATCCGCGCGCTTTGACATTCCGAACTTTCAGCCATTGGCTACCATTCTATGTCGGGCCCTCAGCATCGCTCCATAGCGAGCCGTCGCGCTGATGCAATCCCTCAATGGCAGCGCGCCGCGAATTCGCTCGGCAGCAGCGCGACGACGCAGTTGAGCGGATGCGCTCCATGGGCCACATTATAGAAGAGGCCCCCGGTAACATCGGGATCATTTTGGCAGAGGCTGAGGAAACGGACGCGACGCCAAGCGCGCCGACGCCTTCATATGCAACGATGGGCGCCTGCCCATAGCCGCGAAAGGCCCATTCCGCGATGCGCGCGGATCCGTGGGCGGAAGCCCCGCGCAGCATTCAAGTCTGCGCGCGGCGTGCAGCTTTAGAGCGGGCGGACATCGCGCATTTCACTAATCCAGACGAAATTGCCGGGTGCCTCTTTCTCGGGGCCGCTCGACGCGCCAAACGACAATGGCGACGATGCACGGAGAAACCTGCGCGAAGAGCACGACGCAAGATCCGGGGATTGGCGCCAGGCAAGAGAACGGGGAAAGGTGGGCGGGGGCGTTTGCGCGGGCGAGGCATCGCACCATTCATCATAAGCCTAATAGATGATGAACGCGGCGATGTTTGTCGCGACGGGCCCGGCAACAGGACAAGGCGAACGAACGCCGGGAGAATGCCGAGGTAGAGGGGGGGCCCGCGGGGGCGAGACGGACCTCTTACGGGGCGCCGCAGTTGCGGCAGCAATATGAATATGGCCAGACGTCGCCCGAAACGGAGGCAAAGGGCGGGGGGGGATTATGCGGCTTACTTTTGCTCTGAGGATGCTGTGCCCAGTGAGTGCCCAGATTTCGACGACCTGTCATCTTCCGAGCATCGAGCCTTCTCGTCGCATGCACGGACGACGCGCGCAGTGCCATGGGGGCATATCTTTGCAACGCGCGCGATGAAGAACAACGCCTGATGGCGGGGGGGAATTCTCAAGCGATTCCGATCCGATGCCGAGAGCGCCTCGGAAGCGCCGATGAAGACTCCGACGGCCCCGACGCCGAACTCCAGGGCGCGCGGGCAGCTCTTGCGACCCAAAAGAGATTCAACGACGCGTGTGCCAGATTGCGGAAGCGCAGCCCAGCAACGGGGTGCCCTGCGAATTGCTCGATTGGGTTGTGACTGACGACGAGATCGCCCGCGTCGAGATGGACGCGGCACTGGCACCACCGCCGCCAGGTTCACCGCCCGATGAAACTGGGCAATCGCCTCCACCACCACCAACTCATCTTCCACCGATGGCGCTTAGGCGACGCACCGACCGGGACCGCGATCGCAACGGCAACGTCGGCAGGGGCCGCGCCGACACTGCCATATTCACGAAGAAATGGGATGCCCCGCTGGGCGACGGCGGAAACGCCGACGATGGGCGACGCAGAAACGACTGCCCACGCGACGGGCGACCCCTAGGATGGAGTTGGACAGTTCAACGGGTTCGCGGGTGGAGACGCCGTGGCAATCATACTATGGACCCGATCTACCGAAGAGCCGATCCGTGTTCATGCGGAGGCCAACGGTGGCAGGAACACCGACGATGGTTTCCAGCCGGGCTTGCGGGCCCCAAGTCTGGACAGACCCCGCGCGCCCCCGACGACGACCACCCACTGCTGACCGACAAACAGGAAGCGACATGCCGAGATCGATTGGGATTGGCGCCATAACACCCAGGGCCGCTGCCAGGCCCGGCCGGGGACGGCGCGGCGCCAGATCTCCCAGAGCCGCCGCCAGCGCCGACCAGGGCTGGCTTGGCGCGCGATCTCGCGGCGTTGCCGCCTGTGCCGACCAGCGACGGAGACTCGTTCGCTACGCCCAGCGAAGGGAGGGAGTGGCCACTTGGGGGACACTGGCCCTCCTCGCAGCCCTGCTAACAGAGTCGCCCCCGAAAGCCGAGTCACTTCTGAGCGTGCCATTAGGACTGCAAACTGGTTGCGAGAGCGGAGTCGCCCGAGGCCGCGCGCCAGGATTTGAGACGTCGAAGTGCGCGCGTGGCAGCCAGCGTCAGTAAACAACTGCTCGGGAACACTCCGTTGGGCAAGCGTGCCCGAGAGGGCGCGGGGCGCGACCGCAAGCCGCTCGCTCAGTCACAGTCCAAATCCCGGCCAGCATCGGCGCCGCCCCCTGGCCAGGGCCCCATGTCGGTGGTCCTCGCGGACGGGGGCGGCGTGGAGATGGGCTCGGGCGCGAGCAGTTCCTCATGCCCCGAACCTCCGAAGAAAGAGGGCCAGGGGGCGCGCGCCAATCGCGCGCCCGCCGCGTCATGTTATGTTGCCCCACCAGAACATTCTCTCGACGACGGACTGCCCGGCGCAAGTGCGAAGGGTGAGGCGCCAGAAGGCGGGGCCCCTTTGCTCCGCCCTCTAGAGAAGCGACTTCAAGACGCGGCGGCCATCGCTCAAGAAAGCCCGACGCATGGGGGGGCCGCCCGAGCGGGGGCGCGCGCGAGGGGGCCGCCCGAGCGGAGGCGCGCGCGAACTTGATCGGCTAGGGGCGCGGCCTGTCAGTCGGAGGCCACAAACTCGGAAGATGAGCCGTTTGGCGGGCGCACTCCAATCAATAATCCACCACGATGACCAACCAGAGATGGAAGCGCCGCAGCCGAAATGCACGCCCGTCAGGGAGCTGCCCAGCCGAGATGTCTCAAAGTCGAGGCCTCCCGATCTGGGCGCCGACGACGTCCCCCATGGCGGAAACGCCCCCAGACCCCCCTAAGGGGCCGAGAGTCCACCTGGCCAGCGATCGTAGCCCAGGGGTGCACCCCGCCATGCTGAGGGCACAGGTCCTTTCCACCACGAGCGGAGGACCCCCCTTGCAAGACAGGAACCACCATCGCCACCACATTTAAGTCGGGCCTGTTCATCTACAGGAGGAAGATTCAAAAAATGTCAAAACAATAGTTTTGGAACGATATCGGTACTTTGTTGTGATCATCTTGGAATGTGTGTTGGCATGTGTGTTGACAAACGTACTTTTTTCTTCTAAGAATAGCCTCCTGTAGGGGGACATGCCCGACCTAACACCACATGCACCATTCAAGAGTGGACCACCGACACTCCCGACACAACCACCGCCTCCAACACTACAAGCCAGTGCGAAGCCCCCAACACCAGGAGCTGCCCCATCATCGGACGATCATAGACCTAAGAATGCGCCGCCGCCGATTGTTTTCGATGGTCGAGGTAAGAAGAAACGCCATAAACAGAAACCTTGAGCGCTCCGCGCAGATTTTTTGGATCTGCGCTGGGCCCCCCCCCTCCCTGGCGCGCGGAGCGCGCCGCTGGGGGGCCAGGCGCGGATCCACGAAATCAGCGCGGAGCGCCAAAAGTGTATGTTTCCGGTTTTTTTCCTCCTTCACCAAACACCGTCACGTGCTTTCGGTTGACCATCGCAACCCTATTCTTTGGACCCGGCCAGACCCAAAAAGGGGAAGGCCTCGGGCGTCGCTGCAGGGCCAGACACGGCCCGCCCCCTGGCCCACGACGCCCGACGAGACCATTGGAGACAGAAGCCGCTCGCGCTGAGTCCAGACGACCAGGCAAACAACATACGAATCGGAACCCAGACCCCCTGCGTTTGAAGACCAAAGAAAAACAAGACGGGAGGTTTTTCACTATTTTCAGCCTCTGGGTGCCCTTCCTGGACTTTTGGACTGTCAAAAAACGACTGACTCAGGACGAAAAACCGGTTCTGGGGAAAGGGTCCAGGTTTATGGGTGTCGACGTTATGAAATAATCACGACGACGGGGGTCTAGGAAGGCGTCATCCGGGGTGCAGCTCCGCGAGCAGGCGCCGCAACCGCAGACGACCCAACCAGCAGCCGCGCCACCATCGTGCCGGCGCGTGTGTCGGAATCAACCAAACGACGTTGCATATCAGTTCATCGATCTAGACCTTCCAGATGGGGTCTGAGTATATGGGGTCTGAGTAGATGGGCTCGACGTGGAGACCGATTTTCTCCATGCCGGCGTCGCCGATGCATCGCCAGTGTCGACGATGCATCGCCGGTGCAGCATCGATACACCTCCGATGCATCGCCGATGTATCGGCGATGCGGCGCGATCTTCCGACCCCATCTATGCCGACCCCACCTGGGAGGCCTTTGAGCGACCCTTCTGGGCTGGCGCTCCCTTCAGGGCGCGGAGCGGCGCCCGGTTTCTGGAGGCGAGCTGGCTCTTCAGGCCACTGCGAACGGCCTGCCCGGACGGAGTCTCCGGAGTGTCGCCGTGGGGTGGAGGACTCGGCATGGTCGAGTTTCCCCTCTTGGGTCCTTCCTGGGGCCGTTTGGAGGGCCTCTCCGTGGCCTCGGCGGCCGTCACGGAGCGATGTTCTGGGCCTCTTGGACCGTCTCGGGCGCTCTTGAGAGAGGGAAGCCGAGCTCGCTTGAACCATACACAGTTTGATGTGTTGTCATTCGAGTATAGCCAGGACCCCGGTTCAGGGGAGCCGGTTAGTGATTGGGCCCCGAAGCCTTAAATATGGAGAGGAATCACCAAGCCAGGTCTGCCGTAGCTGGTGCTTTTCGTGTGACGGCAATTCTGATTAGTGGAATGGGACGGGGGGGGCGTCCCCGGTGCAGATCGCTAAACCAGGTCCCACTAAACCCAGTCCTGCCATTGTCCGATCCTTGTTTCGATACTGGGGTCGCATGACCTGCAAGACGGTCCAAGAGGATCCCCACCGCAAGAGGGCTCCAGGACGGGTCTTGAGACAGTCTGATGCCATGTTGGAAGCATGGGAGCCCAACTACGCTTAAGTCGGGCCTGTCTCTCTACAGGAGAAATATGCAACATTTGTAAAACAAGTTCTCCGAGGACGATCTTCCTGCTCTCCTGGACCATTTTGGAACTTGTTTTTGCGCTGTTTAATCTGTCGCCCAGACCTGTACAGTCGGGGCCCTGAAGAAGGCACCCTTTTCGTTGGGGAGGGGCTCCGTGTTCCTTAATTGTTTCGCAGTTTGCCTTGGGTTTTCCTCAGGTTTTCCATGGGAAATCGAGGTTCAACTTAAAGAAAATAGGGGCCTCGTTAACTACTTAGAGTTCCTTAGGTCAACGCCCCGACTGTAGGGGGACGTGCCCGACCTGGTGCCATGTTGGAAGTCTGGGGTCCCGGCTGCGCTCCCGACGAGGCCTCTGCAAGCGCCCCGGGGGCCGCAGCAGCAGCGCCTTGGGAGCTCTCGGGCGCCGGCCCCGTGCGCCTCGAGAGCAGCACTCTCGGGCCTCTCCGCTTCGGGGCGCCTGGCGGGACTTGGGGGGCACCTCCTTCGGTGCTCACGGCACGGCGACGCAAATGCAGCGGGCAATACTTATGTCTATAGTCTATATCCACTGCAGTATGGAGTTTCGGGCTCCCTTCCCAAGAAACCCGAGGCGCACTGGATATGGATAAATTTGCCCCCTGGAGGCTCGATTTTTATCCATATCCAGTGCGCCTCGGCCTTGTGGCGCCGCTTCCAAAAAAGTCCACGAGTCACTGGATATGGACATGAATATTGCCCGCAATTGCAGCGGGGGCGCGCACCAAGAAACGATGTGGTTTTCGTCGGGGCATCCTGGTGTTCTTCGCTCCTCGCGCTGCGCGGTGGCTTCCCGCAGCCGCCGAAGGAGCTGCTGCGTTCCGGGCGCTCCGGGTTTCCCCTGGGGTGCACCTGGCGCACGGGTTCTCAGGGTTGGGTTTCTTGCTAGGGTTCCTTGCGGCCGCGCCCGCACTGTATGGACTAGTTGCCGTGCAGCAGTAGCGAAGCTATCCGTAAGTGAGTGAACGCAGTATGTCTCATGAAGGTGTCGTGCCATCATTCGCGCCACTTCAGCACCGTAAAGGAAAGTTGAGCGCATTGAGCTCGTGTATAGGGCATCCCGTCATTGTGCATCTGCACGGGTGTGAAAAAGTGGCCATGTTGCGATACATTGTTGCCGTGTCGGCTTGGATCAGAGGGCGTCCTGCAGTTTTGATCATTTGCCCGGGCTCAAAACCACGCCATATTGACGCTCGCCTTCACTTTCCCCATTCTTTACTCCTCCCACTCCTCTCCACGCCCCGGGCACTCCGAGCCCAGGGCTTCGCCGGGCCGTCGAGCAAGAAGGGCACCGTGGACCAGCACGTGCGGCCAGACAGCCGAGAGGCGACTCCTCTCTGTACTCTTCCACGTCCCTCCAGATGTTGGGCGTGGGGTGGCCGCCCGCTTTGATGCTTTCGCCCCCCAGCGGCCCAGTTCGCGACCTCGCAGCCCAGTCTGCCGCTTCGACCGTGCGAGGAGGAGGAGGAGGAGGAGGAGGAGGAGAAGGAGGAGGGAGATGAGGGAGAGGAGGCGGAGGAGGAGGACGAGGAGGAGGAGGAGGGGAAGCAGGGAAAGAAGGCAGAGGAGGGGGAGGAGGAGGAGGAGGAGGAGGAGGAGGAGGAGGAGGAGGAGGAGAGGAGGGCGGAGGAGGAGGAGGAGGCGGAGGAGGAGGAGGAGGAGGAGCCTCCGCCTGCGCTGCGACCAAAAAAGCTGCTTGTTGGGGGCGGGGTGGTCGGACCCCGGCGGGCCCAAGGGGCACGCCGGGCCCCCTTGCAATCGGGGGCCCCCAAGCGGGATGGTGACCACACCGTGTGGTGAGTCGGAGGGGATTCGGGGTCACCGCACGGTGTTGGGACTCGGGTTCGTTCTCCGAGGACGTCCCGGGCGACTGGGGCATCCGAGGTCCCAAGACCGTGCGTTGGCGGACCGTGCGGTGAGGGCTTGGGGGGTTCCGAGGTCACCCCACGGTCTGCCACCGCACCGTTTCGGGACTCCAGACTTACATCAACGTAGGCCTCCGACGGATCTCCCGGATCGGCGCTGGAGCCTGGCAGCGCCTCCGGCGCCGCCCACGGCGCGCTCGCTGGCGCGCTCACCAGTGTCGTGCAAAACTTGAAATGTACATTTTTGCGAGTTCTCTGGCTGACATTCTGGAGCGATTCCTCCTCATTGTCTGGCACTGACTTGGTGTGTTCAGAGCTCTACGAGGGTCCCGGCGGGAGGAGGAGGAGGAGGAGGAGGAGGAGGAGGAGGAGGAGGAGGAGGAGGGTAACCTGGTTGACGGTGTACCGCCGGCGCCCCTTGGCCAGCCCAGGGCGGCGCCCGAGGCCGCGGCACGGCAAGCCAGGGCGCCGGCCACGCCAGCTCCAGGAGGGGAAAAAACACACAGACACAATTCATCGTCGATCCCCCAGGAGATGTGGGAGGATAGGGGAAGTGGGGGGTAGACAGAGACCCAGAAAATATGGGAATATATGGGGGATATGTTTACTTGTGTGTACCTATTTGTGTGTCCCAGGGCCCCTTCACAGCTGGAGAGAACGGAACACGGAGCACGTTTCGAGCCCCGGCTGCGGCTTCCCCGGGTGCGCCGGTGCTCTGGTTTACAGTAGGGGCGCGCATCAAGAAACCATGTGCTGTTCGTCAGGGTGTCCAGGGTTTCTTCGCTCCGCGCGCTGCGCGGTGGCTTCCCGCACCCGTTGGAGGAGCTGCTGCGTGCGGGGTGCTCCGGGTTTCCCCTCAGTTGCACCTCGCGCACCGGTTCTCAGGGTTGGGCTTCTTGCGAGGGTTTCTTGCGGCCGCGCACGCACTGCATCCGTGTCGAGAACTCCAGGGGGCCCTCAAGAGGGCCCAGGCAGCCCGAGCGGGGTCCCAGTATGGGTCTTCTTGTGGCCCTCGTGAGCCCGGGTCACCTGAAGGCCTCCCGACTCTCTCTTGGAGCTCGTGCCGGGCTCATTTGTCCCATCTCGCTGCCCAGATAGCTTGCACGCCTGCACACACATGCTGCTTTCTATCGAAGATGCTCACGACGAACCACCGCCGCCTCCTGCCTGGAGGAGCAGGAGCAGGAGGAGGAGCCCTTTGGGGCCTCCTGGGGGCCTCTTGGGGGTCTCCTGGGCACTTACTTCTTGGGGGCCTCTTGGGGGCACTCTTGGGGGGGCTCTTTGGTGCCTCTACGGGGCCTCTTGGCCTTGGGTGGCCGTCTTAGGGGTCCTCTATGGGGCGTCGTGGGGCCATCTTTGGGCGCTTTGTAGCCGTCTTCAAGGTCTGTGCGGTCGTCTTGGGCTCTTGGGGCAATATTTTGGGTTTCTTGGGCCGTCTCGGGGCCCTCGGGGCCCTCTTGAAGGCTTCTGGGGCATCTTCTGGTGTCGGAAGCCCGAAATGGCAAGACCACGACGGCTATTATACAACTGTGGGGAAATCAGTGAACTTGGCATCCTGGAGGTCATCTTAGAGCCATCATGGGCCGTATTGGGGGCCTCTTGAGCCGTCTTGAGTCCATCTTGGGCAGTTTGGGGGCCATCGTGGGTCGTCTTGCGGGCATTTTGGAGCTGTGTTGTGTTCTCGTGTTGCCTTTGAGATGTCTTGGGATCATCTTTCGGGGAAGCGTAAGATTCTACAGGCTTACGCCACATCCGCCGACCCCTTCTGTGACTGTTGCGAGGCCAGGAGTTTCTGGCCAGCGGCGTCTTGTGTGAGGGTGCGGTGTCGTGCGCGGGTGGTGGCAGATACGTCGGGCGTCCACATGTTTGCTGTGATCAGCGAAGCATCACCGCGAAAGATGTGGCAGATGAGTCGAAACGGGTGAAGAGGCTGCTGACGTTCGCAGCGCGCACGAAACAGTTCGCGTAGCAGCAGCACATTAGCGCCGAGCAAGATTGTGAGCACGTCGCGAGGAAGAGCAAGGCTGCATGCGCGGAGTGCATTGCAGTTGGCTTGACGGCTCGCAATGCGGAAGCGTCTGGGGGTATTTTGGAGGCCTCCTGGGGGGCTTTTGGAGGCTCCTTGGGGCGTCTTGGCGGCCTCTTGGGGGCCTCTGGCGGCCTCTTGGGGCACTCTTGGGGCCCCCTGGGGCTCGTGGGGGCGGAAAGCTAGATTTTTGAATTTTCGGTTGCCCTCTTGGGCCCCTCTTGGTGCCGTCTTGGAGCCTTTTTGGGCCATCTTGGGGACCTCTTGGGCCGTCTTGGGGCCATTTTGGGCCGTCGTGGGGCCGTCTTGGGGGCCTCTTGGGCCGTCTTGGGGCGGTCTTCGGGGCCTCTTGGGCCGCCTTGGAGCGTCGGAAAACCCACGAGGCGAATTTGTGAAAACTATACGTTTCACGATGGAAAGGAGCAGTTTTTTGGCGTCTAGGGACCCTTTTGGGGCGCATCTTGGAGGCCCCTTGGGGGCGTCTTGGGCCAGCTGGAGGCCATCTCAGGTGTTTTCGATCGCTCTTGGACCGCGCGGGACCATGTTGAACTCTCTGGGAAGCCACTTGGAGCGCTCCTGGAGCTCTCTTGGGGCCGTCTTCGGGGCTCTCTTGGGCCGTCCTCGGCGCCTCTTGAGCCGTCTTGGCGCCCTCTTGGGCTGTTTTGGGGTCCTCTTGGAGGTTTCTTGGACCGTTTTGGTGCGGTCTTGGGGGCCTCTTGGGCCGTCCGGGAGCGTCGGAAAGCCCAACAGGCGAATTTGTGAAAAACGCACGTTTTACGAAGGGAACGGGCCCTTTTTTTGCGTCTAGAGGTCCTCTTGGGGCGAATCTTGGATGCCTCTCGGGGCCTCTTGGGGGCATTTTGGGCCGTCTGGAGGCCGTCGTCGATGTCTTTCATCGCTCTTGGACCGTCTGGGACCATATTGAGCTCTCTTGGAGGCCATTCGGAGCGCTCCTGGAGCGCTCTTGGGGCCGTTTTCGGGGCCCTGTTGGGCCGTCTTGGACGCCTGTTGGCCCGTCTTGGGGCCCTCTTGGGCTATTTTGGGGCCCTCTTGGAGGCTTCTTGGGCCGTCTTGGGGCGGTCTTGGGGGCCTCTTGGGCCGTCTGGGAGCATCGGAAAACCCAGAAGGCGAACCTGTGAAAAATGTACGTTTAACGAAGGGAATGGGCAAATGTTTGCGTCTAGGGGCCCTCTTGGGACGCATCTTGGAGGCCTCTTGGGGCCTCGTGGGCCCGTGGGGGCCTCTTGTGCCGTCTAGGAGGCCTCGTAGCCCGTGTTTGGGCCACCTTGGGCGTCTTGGAGCGCTCGTTTGGCGTCCCGGGGCCATTTCGAGGCCACCGGAGGAGTCCTTGCAGGATTTTGAATCGGAATCGGGGGAATCCGGGAATTTGGCCGGAATCCCCCCCTCCAAATCGACCGGACGGGGCTCCTGGGGGAAGGGGTTTGGGGAGGGGGACAATCTCACACGCCGATGATCCGCAAGGGTTCGGCGGATTCGACTAAGGCGGAACTCCGGTTGGCCGGCGTTTTTTGACGAACGCATCCTGGATTCTGACGGTCTGGTTGTCGTGTGATGTTTGCAGCGGGAGCTCGCGTAAAATCTAAGATCGGGCCTCGTCATTTTCATGGCCCCGTCAGGCCAACCCGAGTCTCCCGTACCCGAGTCTTACGTCCCCCCGAATCTTGGAGGACATCTTGGGCATTCTGGGGGTATCTCGGGGACGATCTCTGGCGGACAGACCACTGGAAGCCGCATCTTCCGGGCGGCCGACGGGATCGGCCGAGGCCACTGGGAGCCCATTGTCAGGGGCGGCCAAAAGGAGGGTCATGATTAGGGGCGGCCACTGAGGCTAGGTGTAGCACATCCGTGACACGATTCAGGAGTTGATTGTTGCCTGTCACTCTTCAGTGGACATTAGGCGGAAATGGCAACAAAAATGACTAGGGGGGGGGCCATGGCGTGAGCCATGATATTTCTCCAGATTTCGTGGCGCGTCTTCTGATTTCACAACGTCCCCGCCGCCCCCCCCGGGCCGCGCACGTGCCGCGGGCCATGATCTGCGCCCCCCTCTCTTGGGCGCCCCCCCTCTTGGCCCCCGCCCTGACTTTGTCAGGGTCCAGGACAGTCAAATGTTTGGCACGCCAGGCGCCCCTGTGACAAGCACAGGGGGCCGCGGATCGAAGACGCCTACGGCGAAGCACCGCCGCCCCCTGCTCCTTTGGAAACGCCTCTGTGGCCGACAGCTGGGCCAGAGCTTAGCAAAACTATCGGATCATGTGGTCCCCGAGTTGGTTTTGGGGGCGTCTGGGGCCGTCATGGGGCTATCTTGGAGGCCTCTTGGGCGATCTTGGGAACCTCTTGGGCTGTCTTGGGCCGTCGGAAAGCCGAAAAGGCGCATGTGTCAAAATCCTTCAAACACCTGAGGATAATTAATG